TTGCCGGCTGACCAGGACCGCCGTGTGCCGTGCAGACGACTCGATCGCCAAGCGGATCTGTTGGCTGCTGACTGAGTGCTGCTTGAGCGCCCACCACCGGCCCAGGCGCTGGAGGCCATCAGTTCATCGAATCCAAGTTCGCCGCCAAGCCGGAGGACGCCAGGAAGAAGGTGCGTCCGGCGCTACGGCGCGACCCAGCCGCCTTGTGCCGCTGCTCGCTGGCGCGGTCCATGCAACTAAGCGGCAGGCCCCTGTAGACGCGGCTGAGGGAGTGTTTTTCGTGGCGGTCGGCAAATTCGGCTGAGGTATTACGCATGCCCTGTTCCGAGACTGCTGGCCTGTGGGTTCGCAGACAGGGGAGCGTGACGAGCGGGTGTAAACGCTGCTCAGGTGCGAGTCGTCGTGTGCACCAGCGCGGGTGCATTCCATTGGATCGTACGGTTTTGGACATTGTATTCGTCAAGTTAAAGCCGCTCAGCGTTATTGATCATCTAACCTCCGGAGAACGGCAAGACACCACCGACGCCATTTGTCGTCCCGTTACTGTTCCCGATCCCGACCCCGGTCCCAGTCCCAGCTCCAGTCCGGTCCCAGGCCCGGTCCCGGCCCGGTCCCGGCCCTCCCGGGGTCCGGCCCCGGCCCGGTCCTGGTTCTGGTCCTGGTCCTGGTCCCAGTCCGGTCCGGTCCTGGTCCCGGTCCCGTCCTGGTCCTGCCCAGTCCCGATCCCGTCCTGGTCCCGTCCTCCTGGTCCCGGTCCTGTCCGTCCCGGTTCCGGTTCCGGTTCCGGTCCGGTCCCAGTCCCGATCTCCCGGCATGGCCGCGTGTGACGTCCCCTCTACCGGCAGGACGGCACGCTGACCAGTCTGGCGCTCCGCGTGCATCGCTACCGGCTGCGCGCCTTCCTGCAGCTGCACAACATGGCCGACCTCGCCTCCGACATACGCCACATGGCCGACACGGTGCGCCGATCGCTGCGACCAGCCCGCTGCCTTACTGTGACCGTCCGCTGTCTTGCTGTGAACCGCCCGCTGTCGTACTGTGACCGCCTGCTGTCTCACTGTGGCCACTCACTGTCGTACTGTGACCGCCTGCTGTCTTACTGTGGCCGCCCGCTGTTTTAGTGTGACCGCCCGCTGTCTTAATGTGACCGCCCCGCTGTCTTAATGTGACGGCTCGCTCTCTTACTGTGACTGCCCGCTCTCTTACTGTGACCGCCCCGCTGTCTTACTGTGACCGCCCGCTGTCTTACTTGACCGTCCGCTATCTTACTGTGACCCGCCAACTGTCGTACTGTGACCTCCCGCTGTCTCACTGTGACCACCCGCTGTCGTACTGTGACCACCCGCTGTCGCACTGTCACCGCCCGCTGTCTCACTGTCACCGCCCGCTGTCTCGCTGTAACCACCCGCTGTCTCACTGACCGCCCACTGTCTTACTGTGGCCGCCCGCTGTCTCACTGTGTCGGTCTGTGACCATCAGCGTGCCGGTCTATGACCTTGCCGTGACCGCCCGCTGTCTCGCTGTGCCGGTCCGTGACCTCGCCTTGCCGGTCCGTTACCTCACCGCGGCCGCCTGCTGCCATCCCTGTACCGGACAGGAGCTCACTGTGGCCCGTTCTCTGATCTTACTGTGTCAGTCCTGTGATCTCTCTGTGCCCGCTCGCGGTCAAACCTGCCTGCGTCGTCCGACGCTCCCCACTTAGGGCACTTATGTATTGCCATGAGAGGCTGTAATATCCCAGTCTGATCTCTATCTCGCCATCGCATTTCTCTGCTGTCTACATAGATGATGTTGGTGTACCTAGACTTTGGAGAGTTACTTAGTGTTGTACTGCCGTCAATGTACGGATGCTAATGTTTGAAGCGTAATGTATTGATATTGTAACGGAATGCGCCCGACATTCATGTGTTCCCAGTTGTGGTTTCCATTTATGACCACCATCTTTGTTTTGCCTTCTGGGCGGGCTCCGAGCTAGACATCTGGGCGGAATCGCGTGCGAAACGGCACCGGCCGCTGAAGCTGGGTCGGCCTCGAGTGGCGTCGGTTCGCCGGACGTGCGCAGGCCGCGGGCCCAGCCGTCTAACGTCGCCGCGGCCGGCCACAGGACATGAGCAAGGCGTTCATTGAGAGCTACAAGGAGTACCTGAGCGGCCAGGGCCGCGCCGCCGTCTCGGTGCTCAACCGGGTGGCGGCCATGACGCTGCCGGCGTACCGGGCCACCGGCGAGCACGTGCCCACCATGTACTACAACAACCTGGCCTGCATCCACCACTACCTCAACAAGCCCAACGTGGCCGCCTACTACCTGCAGAAGGCGATGGCCGAGAACGATGCCGCCACCGCCGTGCCGCAGACCAAGGCCGAAGGTGGGGACAGGTGTCGAAGCCGCGTTGTTTTTCAGTTCAGATATGCTGGTATGTGCGCTGGTTGAGCCGGCACTTAGAGTGCGCCACCTTTGGGGCGTGTGTCAAAAACGTGTTCTGGGAAGCTTCGGCCAGTGATGTCTAGAAATAGCACAACAAATACATTTGCAGTACCACAGGATGTAAAAACCAACTTAAGTTATGCTTTTTGAAATCTTAGTCGCGCGGCCAATGGTCCAGCACTGCACTAAATTTCTCCTTTCTTTGTTGCCCCAGATCTGGAGTGGGCAATCCTGGCGCGGACAGTGCATTGAAGTGATGCATGTATTGTAACCTTCCTGACTGTTCGTATGGATTTCACATCGATCCTGCCCAAAACCCCTATAACAAAGAGGGGAGGGATTTTACGAGCACCAACAATCACCCCTGGGTACACCTGAAGTGTACCGTCAGAATGGGATCCACCATTTATGAGCATGAATCGTGTCAGTGAAAATATGTTTTTTATTGGCACAGCGGGCGGTGCCAGCCATTTAACGAGAAGTCCTTTGACGGAAGTTTGAACATGTGACGTGGTCAAGTGACGCACATGCACTGGTCACGTCATGTGATCTGTCTACACATGTACTGGTCTACATGTCTACACATGTCTACACATGTCTACACATGTACACATGTACACATGTACCACTTTCATTATGGTCAGCATGTCCTGGTCTTTGACCCACTGGCGTTTCCCCGTCGAAATACCTTCTTTAAATCAAAGTTCTTGAGTGTTCAGAGGCATCTCGAGAAAACTAGTACTACCGACCAAGTCGGAAGCGTCTGATCTAACTGCGAGCGAAAAGTTCAAAAAGGGTGCTGCACTCCCTTGAAGGCAATGCGCCCAGCGCGTAGCGCTCTGCCCGTCCGTGGCACGAGCGTATGTTTACGTATGTTTACGGAGGTTAGGTTTACATAAACCACGGTTGCGACGGCCGTGACCTTCACAGGCACCACTGTCGGCTCGCACCGTGGCGCGTACGGCTTCCACGGTTGGCTACTGTGGCTCCTCCGCTGCGGCGACCTGACCTGACCTGACCTGACCGGGCCGCAGGGGACCGGTACGGCAGCGTGCCGATCCACACCATCGGCGGCTCGCGCCATTACGAAATCGTCTACAACATGGGCCTGGCCAGCCTGCACGCCGGCCGGCCGAAACGGGCGTTCGACTGTCTGACGGAAGCGATCCAGGTGTACCACACCAACCCGCGCCTCTGGCTGCGGCTGGCCGAGTGCTGCGTCATGGCGCACAGACAGGTGCGTGCGTCCGGCGCGCCGGCGGGCGCCGGAGCCGGGCGGCGAGGTCACTGCGAGTCGGCGGCGCGCGCTCGCCGGACCGGGCATGTGCCGGGCTGACGTGGGGCGAGGCGGGGCGGGCTGGAAAGGGACGGATGGGAGGACCTGGCCTCCGCGGGAGGTCAAGGCGGCGGGCGCTTCGTCCTCCGGAGAGAGCGTGCCAAGGTCAGGGAAGGCATGCGAGGGTCATGCCCGGGGTGAGCACTCTGCAGACTGGGCTTCGCACGGCCTTCAGTGGCGTTTGTCCAGGTGTCGGGACATGTCGCCGTGGTGAGCGGCCCGACAGGGAGCGTCCTCGACCTGACTGCGGAGGAGGGGAGGGTCAGGGGAAGCTGCGCTATGTACTCCCCGTACCACCGATGGTCAGGGAACATCTGAGCGCAACTGCACCTGTCCCGATCTGACAGCACCTGAGCTCATCTGTCATGACCTGACCTGACCTGCGCCGTGTTTAGGAGCGGCACGGCGAGCAGGGCGCCGGTGGGAAGCGGCAGGGCCTGATTCAGGGCACCATCGGCGCTGGCACACACCGCAAGCTCGTGCTGCGCCCCACGACCACGCCCAGCAGGTGAGCACGTCAAGATATCATCGCCGGCTCTGTGGAAGCCCGGGGCTGCCCGCCCAGGGAGACCTCCACATGCCCAACACAGACTGTGACTGGAATCTGTGTCTGCCACCGGTGCAGCTTTCCGTTGTCCGCTATTGTCGAGGTGGGAAATTGCGGTGCCAAGTGGGACACGAGCTGGAATTGGTCGCTGAGGTCCCATCAATAGCTGTCCACGTACGCCATCCAATAGTGAAGGGGTCACCGTGCTGACTGACGCACGTCTGGCGACTGGTTGACTACTGAGACCGGCGCTGGCTGGCGACCTGTGACCACTGAGACTGGCTGACCGCTGAGACCGGCGCTGACTGGCGCTGACTGGCGACCTGTGACTACTGAGACTGGCTGACCGCTGAGACCGGCGCTGACTGGCGCTGACTGGCGACATGCGACTACTGAGACTGGCTGACGCTGAGACCGGCGCTGACTGGCGGCTAGCTGGCCGGCGCTGACTGGCGCGGACTGGTCTCGTCTTGCAGCGGCTCTGACCAGGTGTCGGCGGCCATCCCCAACCCGACGCTGGAGTTCGCCTCGCTGGCGCTGCGCAACGCCTGGCTCATCCTGGGCGAGGACGGCGAAGGCGAGAGCCCGGTCACAGTCGAGCCCGCCAACCCGGTCACGCCCGACCAGGTCAGCGGTCAGAACAGGGTCACGCCTGACCAGGTCAGCGGTCAGAACAGGGTCACGCCCTACCAGGTCACTGGTCAGAGCAGGGTCACGCCGACCGGGCCACCGGTCAGAGCAGGGTCACGCCTGACCAGGTCAGCGGCTAGAGCAGGATCACACGTTGTGCGATGACTGAGGACATTGAGGTCATGTAATGAATCTATGTATTCTGCAGGTGTGTTTTCGCCCACCGTGCTGTCCCGTTGATGACCCCACTATTCAGGGTGGTGATGTGTGCTGGTCACCGGCTGTCCACGCGGCACGTACCGCTTCCCTCCGGTGCCCGTTGCTGTCCCCGGGCCTGGAGTCGGTGGTTGCCCTCAGCGTCGGTGTGCACCGTGTGCTCTGCAGGTGCAGACGATCCGGTGCTCGGTGCTCTCGGCCGCCGCGTACGTGCACTTGTGCCTGGGTGACCCGGTGCTGGCGCTGGAGCACGCCTGCAAGCTGCTGCACCAGCGGCTGCTGGCGCCCGTCCAGCGCCTGCTGGGCCACCTGTACGCCGCCGAGGCTCTGGTGCTGCTCGATCGCGTGGACGAGGCGCTCGAGCATCTCAGTCACGAGCTGGGCGGTGAGGACGACACCCTGGAGGGGGGGGGGGGATGATGCCTGTCAGCTGGCCGTTCGACGTATGTGTCTGAGGGGAGGGGACTGTGATGAGGGGCAAGTGCTGGCACTGGCGGTGATGACGACATCGCTTGGTGCCGCTAGATGATATGCTGTTTGATGTTTCTCTACTATGAACCGGGCTCATTTGATAGCGTGTTCGGTCCAGTGGTATCTCTTCACGACATGTCTTTGAGCGCATTCAGGCCCCTCCCTGGATACCTCTCGCACCAGCGCGACCCTGGAGCAACAGCCCTACACTCTGTCCGCAGGGGACATGTCTCTGCACGCGCCGGGGGTGACGCCGTCGCCGGTGGAGCAACAGTGGTACCCGTCCACGCCCCTAGGGGCGCGCATGTGCCTGCAGTATAACATGGCCGTGGTGCGGACCATCCGCGGCGAGCTGGACCGGGCCTGGGACCTGCTCAGAGTGGTACGATCAGGGCTCCGGGCGCGCTCAGACACCGGGCCTGGGACCTGCTCAGACTGGTACGATCAGGGCTCCGGGCGCGCTCAGACACCGGGCCTGGGACCTGCTCAGGGTGGTACGATCAGGGCTGCGGGCGCGCTCAGACACCGGGCCTGGGACCTGCTCAAAGTGGTACGATCAGGGCGCCGGGTCAGGGACCTGCTCAGGGTGGTACGATCAGGGCGCCGGGCGCGCTCAGACACCGGGCCTGAGACCTGCTCAGGGTGGTACGATCAGGGCGCCGGGTCAGGGACCTGCTCAGGGTGGTGCGATCAGGGCGCCGGGCGCGCTCAGACACCGGGCCTGAGACCTGCTCAGGGTGGTACGATCAGGGCGCCGGGCCTGGGACCTGCTCAGGGTGGTACGATCAGGGCTGCGGGCGCGCTCAGACACCCGGCCTGGGACCTGCTCAGAGTGGTACGATCAGGGCGCCGGGTCTGGGACCTGCTCAGAGTGGTACGATCAGGGCTGCGGGCGCGCTCAGACACCCGGCCTGGCCAGAACGGTGCGGTCTTTGCGACTGACCAGCGGGCACAGTGGCGCTTGTTCTGATGTGACGCTGGACATGCGGGGCGGCGGCTGACTGGCGGAGACGAAGGTGGGGTGCTGATGTGACGCTGGACATGCGAGGCGGCGGTTTTTTGATGACCCCTTCCCCATCCGCAGATGAACCCGTCGTCTCCGGAGGTGCCGCCGCAGGTGGTGCAGCTGGCGCTGTACCTGCAGCTGAAGCACGGTATGCTTCGCTCCCACCGCCCAGTCATTTCCGTCGGCAATCGCGGACCAGCATGATGCGCGATTGGTACTCCTGATCTGACCTGGCCCGACCGTTAACTGATGGACCCGTGACTACCGTTTCCTGACCTTTAAGAGACAATTACCCGGCCATTATGCTTACAACTACGTGGCTGTAACATAACCGGGAGCAAGGATAGCAACAGGCAGGCCCCCTCCCACGCCTCCAGGCTGCACCATTCGAGCTGGCCGTTCAGGCGCGTGGCAAGTGGGCCTCTGCGTGGCGAATGTTAGTTTTTGAAAAGTAAGTGTTCGACTGGAATTGGTGCTACCGTTCTGTTGCCGCGCTCCAGTGTTCATTGAAGAGTTTCGCTGTGTTCCAAGTAGCTTATTCAAATCGGACTTTACTCGGTAGTGGCTGGCCTGCTTTCCGCCCGGTGCTATGGGCGCCGAGCGTTGCTATAACTATCATTCGCGGTCACTGTATAGGAGGGTTTTGCTCGACAACAAGCACTACGATCTGTTCAGACGGTACTATTGCTCGTTTGGTGATTGGCTAGGCTGGTGATTTGGTCCGTGTTGGCCACGCCAAAGCCGTCCGGCGTCGCGATCTCCCACGTGACGGTAGGCGCGTGGAGGTGCACGCGTCGAGTGCGGCGGTCGCGCCCACCTGCCGTCCTACCTCAGCGGCGTGTCGCCCTCCGCAGGGAACCTGGACATCGTGCGATCCATCATCAAGCAGCACTCGCCGCAGTACCGCTAGTGGCCGCCAGGCGACCACGTCCTTCGGGCCGCCGCCGGCGCCGGCCCCCGGGCGTCGCTCACGCAATATCCCTCCGCCGGCCGACCGGCTGGCGGTGTGATGCCCCCCCCCCCCCCCCCACATCCTCCTCCCCACGTGCTTCCGCGTCTGTTTGTGGTACTGAGAAATACACTGCGGGCTTCTTTGCCCAGCTTATCCACCTCTTTGTCTGAGGATTATGGCAGTGTGGTTCGGCTTGGACTAACGCGCGCTGCGTGCTGGGATTTGTGCGCATGCGCAGCGGGTCACGCGTGATGTTACAATAGCCAACATTGGGCGGAGCAATGATGGAGTTGCATGAGGCTCATGCTATTTATCGCGAACTGCGCGTGCGCTCGCAAATGCGATAGTGTTGCGTGTGTCAATGGTAGTGTTGCGTGGCATTCGTGTATGCACCGTTCTGAACTGGAATGCATTAACTCCACTAGGAGCCCATTCTTCAGGCAACGTATGTTTGTTGTCATCTTTGTCGTTCAATATGTAGCCGATCACAGCTTTCTGTGGGCTCTTGTACCACGATTTTAACAATGCTCGGATCGGCGCGGTAAGGCGCCACTTATGAGCATATATTATTCACTGACCGCTTACTGGTGACACGATTGGTGTCACTGCGTATGTGTCGCGCCTTTGCCCCCCTAATTGCCGCACATCCCGTACGGCACGGACACTGATGATGAGACGCCCGCATAATACAAAACGGCCATTAGTTTTTGGCACATTTGTTGACAATACTTGCGGATCTTATAGATCAAAACCGTATCAAGCTGTGATCATTGGTTGGACAAGTGTCGGTTTCCAGAAGGCGCGGTGGCCAGGTCAGGTCAGCCACTGGACTTCAGCAATTTCACAGAGGTTAGGTAGGACTCCTCCGGTACGCGACCCCGCTGGTGGCGACAGCGGGTGCTATCCTGCTCTGGACGAACCGCTAGTTGGTATACGGGGACAAAAGATCAACAGAATCCTGCAGATCAATCAAGGCTTGCCGCTACAACACCTCTAAAGACAGCAAACCTGTATTGGTGTCCACGGGGTGGAACACGTGGCCAGAAAGTCACATCGTAAATAAACCGGTCGTGCTGCTCGCAAAACGTCGGTGACATGGCGTTGAGTAGCTTGACGATCACCAGGTTCATATCATTGGCCTCCAGGAAACGTCATCACCAGGAAGGCAGGCTACTGTCTGCAGAAGAAAGAATGGCTTAGGAAAAAGAAGAGGAAAGAAAGACGACTGGGAAAAATGGTTAGGAGAAAAATGTCGCATCGAACATGACAACAGGGAATTGTACGCTTTGTACAACTTTGCACAACTGTTGCCGGAGCAACTCCGTACGAATGCGTGGTGAATCACCCTTGACCTGACACATTATTGATGATATGAGACACTGAGCCTGGCATTACGGCGGTCCAACTATGACATGGGATCGGAAAGGCAGATCAGGGAAGCGCAACTGGGTCCCATCTGGGCTAGTTTTGTGGGTGCCATCTTTGTGGGTGCCATCTGGGTATAGTTATATGGGTACCAACTGGACGTACCGTTGTGGGCTCCAGCTGGGCATGTTCATGTGGGTCCCAACCAGGCAGCCCAGGTGGGTTCCAGTTAGACCCAATTCAGGCCCCGGGATGGCTGCCCACGCTGGAACCATTTGGTTGCCGTGATTCTGAACCTGCTACCGACTTGACGAGCATATGTCGCTCGCATGGCCTCCTTTTGACAAAATCCTGTATCCGCCCCTGTCTTAGCGGCAGCGGCAGATGCCTTTACCTACTCCTCACACCGCTATGGTAGATGCCTTCAGGTCGCACTCGTCTCTCTACATGGTGCGGGCGTGGTGGCGGCATTTTGATGCTGTATGTGATGATGCGAAAAAACAGCGCGGATGTTACTCATCGTCGGCAATGTGTTGTTTTAACGAGAACCCGCAAGCAGCCGACTCTCTTCAAACCAAACCGTTGTCTCGATCTTAATTAAAATGGACGGTACCCGCATAGGTAAAGAAAACATAAAGCAAAATAAAAAAACAGCCAAAAGGCGTTCTAGATTTCGGTATGAAAAAAATAGCTGGTATCTATTTAACTAAGAGACTTTCTGTGAGAAAACAGTTTGATTTTATGCATCAGAATCTTGGAATTAACCCTGCCAAAGTTGGGGGCCGTTCCCCGGCCCAAAAGATAAGGGGAAAGCGCTCCTTATATTCCCCCCTCCCCATGTTTCTGCGCATATGGTCAAGAATCACTCGCGTTTTCGAGTCGCACACAACAGCTACGGGTATACTCAATGACGTCACTAGTATTCGAGTGATCGGCGACAGGATATGAAAAGATTTGACTTGCCGAAGAATCGCCTCCTTGGTGACCTTGGCGTCGTAGAAAATCCGTCTGAGGGGGGATACAGTGCTGTTTGGGATTATCAGCCGCGTGGAAGTGTTTGTGATGTCTATGAAATCTCATCCAAGAATGTGAAGTGCAGTAGGCTGAATTGTTGAGACTCATTAGCGGTGTTTTGGTACCGGAACTCGGTCCCTGGCTGCCCAGTATTTGGTCGGAAGCGACTGATAATTGAAACTGCAGCGCAGTAACCGTCGAGGAAGGCTCACGGAGCTTTGTTATTCTCAATACATTTTATTGACAGTATACCCACTCATCAGCAATCATAGGTACCAGGACGCCTACAAATTTTGAGGGCCCTGCCAGTGAGGGGGAAATGGCGGAGACAGTTCAATCAAAACGAGCTAATTTCTCTGCCATAAATGTGGGTGGAAATGGCATCAGTGCTGTGGCAGGACAAGCTGCTGCAGCTAAGACTGGGTCGGCTAAGAAACTGGTCATCAAAAATTTGAGAGGTAAGATTTGCTAATTCTTTTGGTGTTATTTGGTCATGTGGATTAGATGTTGCTAGTTACACTTCATACACAGGTCTATGTTAAATCAATTCACAATCAATTCTGTCCTATGCATCCATTGTTGGTCATCAGTCATCTTTCATGAGGTATGAGTGCAATGCATTATAACTGTTTTGTCAATGCTTCCAATTGTGCAATGATGAGTAACCACTAATCACAGGCCAACCATGCCTTTGCTGTACACTTTAAGGTTAGAGTTTGATAAGGTCTTGCTTTACTCACTATGGTACAACTGATTCTTAAAGATAATACATGATAAAATAAATTTTAACTCTTAGAAATAAGATTGCATGCTGTCAAAAGTTTTACATAATAAATTGTGACATCAATGATAGAAATGGCATGAAATCTAACCTACTAGTGAAACCCAACCTTTGTTATACTGTGGCCAGAGCAAAACTCCAACACAGGGGCATGTCCAAGAGACTACCTAGGTCAAGTGGTCACCATTGTGGTATGTTTGTAATATTGCTATGAAAATTTCCATTTTGGATGTAAACATTTATTGTCAAATCCATGTGCTTGATGACATAATTTGAATCCCTTCAGCATGATTGCACTTAATTGCATATCCCAGTTTGCCAATAAGCTAAACTCAATTTTACCAGGTTTATTCAATTATACAGAGACCACTATCTTCTTATAAATATGCTGTGTGCATTCACACACCTTATAACATAGCACACAATCTATGCAATTGTTGGTTATGCAAGGAAGGTATCTAAAAAGCATGCATTTATCACCTTATCTCAGACTTAGCCTTTTATGAGCATGACAGAAGCAGTCCATAAGTAACATTCCACATTGTTGACATCTGTTGGCAACTTTTCCTGTCACTGGTTGCATGCTGCTTATTCTGGGTGAAGTCCTTTCCCCTCTCCCCAGCTATCCTGTGTTTGAACAACATCCCCCCCAAAAAAATATGAGTATGGCCAGCATAGCATGCCAAAAAAGCAATATCAGTTAGCCTCCAACTGAGCTAGAGATTTAAAATGAATGACAGGCACTCCTGGCTCAGAGAAGAGCCAATGGCATCCAGCTATAATGTGCTCATTATTTTTTTTAGAAAAAAATTATGGTTTGCTCCATGACCCCAGCTGAGTGTGACATTGCACCAACTTCCTTTCCCAGGCTTTTTGTGCCTCTACAATGCTCTTTCAAACCCTCCTCTCTCCCCTTCCATACATAACTAAATTTGAGGATGGCCCCCTACTTGAATATTCAGTTCTGATGATCTGTTAGTGGAAACAATTATGGTGGTGTAGGCACTGTTTATGTGCATTCATTTCAGGAATTGCCATCAGCTAGCCTCGCTTTTACTTCTCCATATCCATCAGCATACACCAGTAATTTGGAAGTCACTTCTGTTCAAAATACTTGAAATTCACAGAATCTTTGGTTCATCTTTAATCCCATCTCCTTTGTATCTTCCAACAATACTTGTAAATTGATAAATGGAATGTGTTGTCAGGCAAATATCAATTAATTTCCAATTCTTCCTGAGTTTTCAAAAATGTTTGCCAATCTGGTGGCAATCAAACAGCTTTATGTTTCAAATACATCACTATAGACTGAAAAACATCTTAAAATGTCTGCCTGATATGTTGAGATCTTTGACAGAAATGCTGTTGAACTGGAATCTTCCTTCCTTGTAGTGCAACATTTTTTTACAACAATTGGTTAGCAAGGGCATTGGCTCAAAAACCACATCTGCATAACATTTGACCACATTACTGACATAACTATATTTGCTTCCTATGCCACAGAGCGGCCAAAGCTGCCTGACAACTACCAGGAGGTCACCTGGAGCAAGCTGAAGGAGGCTGTGCTGGCCATCCAGCAGTCCCGGTCCATCGCCTACAGTCTGGAGGAGCTCTACCAAGCTGTTGAGAACATGTGCAACCACAAGATGGCTGCCCAGCTGTATGCCAACCTGAAAGGTGCCATATGGTGCATCATTGTGTGTGCTGGTGCAATGTGGCTTCTGGCATCATGACAGTTATTAACCAAGTTGAGGTGTATTTTTGCACCTTAATAAAGTGGGGCTTGTATCAACATAAGCCAGGTTTGTAGAAAACGTTGAAGTTAACACAATCCATCCTGCACTAGATGTGTTGGGCAC